CTTCAAATCCTGACTCAAAACCTTCTTCTTTAGAAGGGCCTTGACTTAACTGGTTCTGTTCTTTACCCCTCTGCTCCTACTGTATCCAGTATCCTACTGTATTTTCATTATCTCGTGTATTGCTTTATTGGTGCTGCTGTCGTTCTGTAAAGCACTTTGAGAAGCCACCGCTAAAGGTGCTATATAAAATAAAGTGTATTATTACACATTCTTATTACACCCTCACCCAAGCTTTGCACCACACTGCACGTACTAAATTAAAGAGAACAGAACCGAGCCCCCTTATCGCCTGCTACACTGATCTCCAGCACGCCAAGTCCGGATGATTAAAGGCCACAGAGTGCTCCAAAAACGCAAGTTTTTGTTCTGGTGGCAGTCAAACGGAAGTCTGGGCGAGACTGGTCGGCGGCAGAGGTCTCGGCAGTGAAAATCCATGCGATTTATTTGTTTCTTTTTTAAGTCTGGTATTCGAGTGCAAAAAATAAACAGTGGGGTTTACGAGAGAGCCGCCAGAGCTGTGTAGGCAATTCACTAAATGCTGGTACAAAAACAACCCAAACTCCACCACGCCCACGATTTTAAACCCAGTTGACTACTGCAGTTCTGGCCTGCCCCCACCACTAGGTGGCGCACTGCGAACAACAGGTGCCAACACCTCTGCTCGTCTGATCCTCACCCAGGGCATCTTTATTTGTTTCCTTCACTGCTGCAGAAGGGAACTCTGCGGGCAGGAAAAAGACACAACACAAGACGCAGCGTATTTCTCGCAACACAAACTTGACAACGGGTAAGACAGAAACTCCCACGCCAAAGATGGGGAGAAACAAGGAGGCGGCTTTAGGAATCTTACGTAAGATATACGTAAATACGTTAGACACACGTGTGACGAAAAAATAAATGAATACGGTAAAATATACAATCACGTGTTCCACCTAAACAGGTGAATAGCCACTTTAGTCTGGGTAGTCTCAAACTGTGGTACGCGTACCACTGGTGGTACGCCAGATGACCCTGGAGATTTGTTGTGTGCACTGAAAAACTGGGAATTAAAACGTGGTTTTAAAAAAATGTGTTCGTTCGTCAAACACGCAGCCTACGTACTTAGCTCTGTCCATACAGTGCGCGCCAACACTCCATACTGTTCCCGAGCTGTCAGCGCCACTTTCGCCGACGGAACAAAGAACCAAAACTGAATACCTTGCACAAACCAAGCCTCACGTCAGGGCTGAAAGGAATAGACGCCAAGAGAACCAACGCCAGCTCTGATAGATCACGCACACCCGTTGAGAACGGGGAGGATTATACATCGGCCACCGACACCAGCTCTGCTGCTGAACCTGACACAGACAGCCCTGCTAGTGTTGGGAAGCATTGGAAAATGGCTATAAGGTGGTAGGATCCAAATGATCTAGGTTTGGGATTTACTTACACATTACATTTATACAGTTTTTACTCAGTGCTATTTTTATTATATGGGTGTGTGAGTGTGTATGCGCTACGCACTCATGTTGGGCATTGAGATTTTCTCTGGCTCCTCAGAGAAGATGACTCGTAGGTGGTACTTGGATGGTTTGATCAGGGGTGGTACTTGGTCCAAAGAGTTTGAGAACCACTGGCCTAAACCATCAGCCTGCTGGAAGGGAGCCCACTTTCATTGTGGGCGTGACAATCAAGCAGTCCTCTCACTGAGATTCTCCCTGTCTGTCTGTCTGTCTGCCTGCCTGCCTGCCAGTCTGGCTTCACCTCCCGCTACTGCAGGAAGCAGGATCTGGAGAGCCAGGTGTGGCGAGTGTGCGGGTGGACTCTGCTGCTCTTGATGACCAGCCTCCTCTCCTACCTGCTGTGGAAACGCAAACTTGCATAGCCCTCCCACCCCCCTGGCGCCCCCTGCTGGCTGGAGGGGGGACTGCGCCTGCCAACACGAGCCAACTTTGACCAATCACAGGAGTCTCTGGAGCCGCAGGGTGGCCCATCCAGAGGGACTAACCGCTGGCTGCTCAAGTCTCCAACTGCTTCTCGGAAGTAATGTGTACCTGATCTGTGGATCAGGTGGATTTGACCTGTGGATCAGATGGATCTGTGGACCTGATTACCACCAGCTGCTGGGGTGGCATCTTTAAACACCAAGCTCAGTTTCCAACATCTGTTCCAACAGAGGCATCAGGTACATGTCTGTGTGAGACACAGGGGAGTCCTTTTTCAAATCAAACCTGTTGCACAGGTGGCAAACAAACTGCTTTCTTAGACACTACCATCTCTGGAACTCACTAGCAAGTCGCTAATTTAAAAAAAAAATGCTTTTGACACACTCATCGTCTTTTCATTTATTTTCAAAGACTGTTGTGGGACTACTGTATTGCTTGCAATTAACTGGATGGGACTTCAGAACAAACTGAATTGTAAGAAATAAACGAAGTGATGAAGTGATGATGGGTCGTGTGTGTTGAACAACTATTTTCTGATTCTCCATGAATGACTTTACAAGCATGCTCAACAGAAAATACTGGCCTTGGGGAAAAAAATAGCTTCATTAATTTTTTTTCTTAACTTGATTACTCTGGTGCCCTGCTCGCTGGGCAATTTAAATCCACACCGAACAAACGTCACTATGTCGAGACGTCAGCAGCCAGTGACCAGGTCTAGTGCAAGTGACCACTTTACTCCTATCCTGGAGTCCCTGCACTGGCTTCCCATCACGTTTTGTGTCGATTTTAAAAAAACCTCCTGCTCACCTATAAGGCTCTGGGATGGCACGGCACCTCAGTACCTGTCCGAGCTACTGTCATCCTACTCCCCACCTCGCAACCTATTTCTGGCCACCTGTCTGTACCCCAAGCCTTCCGCTGCACCCTAAAGCTCTGGACTCCTGTCCCAAAGGATATCACAGAGTCACCTTCTCCAAGTTCTTTCAAATCAAGACTCAAAACCTTCTTCTTTCTGAGTCTGCCTGCTTTGCTTTCCTCCTGTATTCCAAACCCTCGCCGGCACAGTGATTAATTGTAATTGCAATTGTACTGTGCTACTTAACTGTATCTGTTGCTATCTCCTTCCACTGCGTGTCTTTTTTTCCCGTAAAGCCGCTTTAAAGGCGCTATATAAAAATAAAGTTGGCTATTTTTATTATTTTATTTCGACGAGACTCGAAATATTTGATTCGGCTTCTTGACACGAAGACGACAAGCGCAAGACAAGGGCGCCCTCTGGTGGAAACTAGCAGCTCCTGCGTCGCTCTCAATTCACCGTTCGCACGTTTGTTCAGAAAATACACGGGCATCTACTTATGACACAAACAGCAGGTAACACTATGCAAACAGCTTTAGTTTATCTTCTAGGTCGCGGGGCCAACACGAGTTATCGCCCAAGCAGTCCTTAATGTTATACCAGTACATACCTCGGGGGTCGACAAAACCGCACGGCCAGAGAGCCTGTCATCTTCTTTTTCCTGGCGACGTAGTTGAGATTTAAACAAAAAAAATAAAATAAAGCACGGTCGTGATTTGCAGGCGGAGTAATTAAACAACATTTCATAATTAAATACCGGATCTCCTACAACCAAACAGTCGCTCTTGCACCACAGACGTCTAAGACAACGAAAGTGCAGACCGAGGGCGGCCTCTAGCGGTCGGAGGGTTCGTGCTGCTCTGACTGCTGGCCGTGTGAATTACTTGTCAAGTAAAAGGAATTCAATCCAAATTGATCACATGCACAACAACACAGCGTGCAGCGTGAGCTCACCTGGAGGGGGGGAATCACAAAATCACAAAATTAAGGTTACAAAATACCTAAAAGGTTACAAAACAAGTTCAGTGGATTTGAACTTCATGAAGTTGTGTGCATTTCTTAGTCGCGCTGAATGTCCAAACACAGCTTGAGTAGCAATGCACTGTGGATTTATAATTTATATGCAGTGTACAGGGATAAATTATATTATACGCAAGTATTTTAAGGTGAGCATTGTATACACGAAACAGCTGTGTCAAGTATACGGTACAGTTAGTATTACTGATGTATGACGTACTGCACATAACTTCAAACATAAAAATTCTTTATTGAGAATGTTCAGATCTTTTTTTTTTCCCACACCAACCCAGATCTCGCTTCACCGAAAGACATCAGACCTCGACGCGATACCTTACCCAGTTAAGACTCTTGTTACCCAGCGATTTAAAATTAATATAGATGACAAATGTGTTTTTTTTTTGTGACAATAGCCCTGAAACTAGTCAGCATTTGTTTTGGTTATGTCCTAAGGGTAAACATTTTCTGGATTAAGTTGCAGACTTCCATTAAAAAAGAGACCAATGTTGATATTTGTTTTGATGAAAAAAAGATGTTACGTTAAGTTTCAGCCGCATCGAAAACAATATTAAAATTTCGTTTGCAATAAATTGAATTACTATAACGTCACGCTATTGTATACATAAAAGGAAGTGGTCTGGGAAGAACCCTTTGTCTGAGCATTTTAAAATGGAAGTAAGGGGGTATTTGCAGCCTATTTCGAAGTGCAAAAATATGAAAACGGCGCGGACATTATTCTTATTTAATGTGTTCAGTCTTTTTTCATTACTTGAATTTACCCCTGGCGACCTTTCTTGTCTTGAATTGTTATATGTACTCTTGTTTGCATTGCGATTTTTGTTCTTTTTTTAAGCATAAATACAAATTCAAAAATAAAACTCGACGCGATACCCTCATCATTGGCGTGGTGTAGAAAGCGCGCCCCCCACATTAACCAGCAGGGGGTCAATCAGGACAAACAACGGGGTTGCCACGGCGACCGGGGGCGCGCATCACAATGGCGATGCAGTCTCTTGCCCAAGTGGCGGGCAGCCAGGGTCCCGACTGTCCCGCTTATCCTGTTTGGGAATGGACCGACACAGCTTGTTCCCGGCGGACCCCTACTTCATTCCGGGGTAAACCTGCGACGGGATAAGCTCAGATTTCAGCACCTGAAAAACAGCAGCACTACACTCGCCGTTCTTCACGTTAAAGTGTAATTCTCAAATGAAGGAAAGATGTCCTCTTCTAATACGTTGAATTAAAAGAGGATAGCTTTCGGAGCCATTTCTTTTATTTACCATCTGCTGTCCATTTTTTTAAAATGTTAATTATTAAAGTAAGGAGGAAATGGATACTGTACAACAGCGCACGTGGATGCAAGTCGTGGTTTTTCCACGCTCGGGGATAAACGATGTCGTAACTCAGAGGAGAATTAAAAAAAAAAAACAAACAGGCCCTGATGTTTCACTGTAGCAGGTGTGTGTGTGTGTATCAAGAACACGCCACGGGCTGACGTGCGATGGTGTTTCTGTTTACGGTTTCTGCGCCCAGTTACGGAGGATTCTGCCCGCAGTTCCAGTTCCAGATCGGACACTCCTACGGGGCCACGACCCACAATCTGCTGACCGACCCCAGAGTCCGACAAAACAGGAGTACTGTGCTGTCACCCACCACGAATCTAGAGAAACCCCCCGATGCCCTGCCAGCCATAAAGGGCACAATCAAGGGGCTTAGGGCAATACCTGGATACTCAGGTGGGTATTTTATACTGCCAGCATGGTAGGGGATTCGATGTGAAATCTCATCCTGCTTCAGGGCTGGCTAGAAACTCTCTGTTTTCTTCAGCAACACAAGCAGGGTGTGCGCTGTGCACTTTCAAACACTGCATCCAAAGATGTTAATAATAATAATAATAATTATAATAATAAACTATTTTATATAGCGTATTTAAAGGTGGCTTCTCAAAGTGCTTTACAGAATGACAACAACAATAAAAATACACAAGATATGCACAATGAAAATGCACAACGAGAGGAGACAGTAGATGGGGGTACTTGGATGCAGTCGCAGCAGAGGGGTAAAGAACAGAACCAGTTCAGTAAAGGCTCTTTCTACAGAAGAGTTTGAGTCAGGATTTGAAGGAGTTTACTCTCTGATAGTCACCTTCTCTCTGCTGTTAGTCCACGAAAAGGTGGCGTGATTCTCCCTCTGCTTTCTCGGGGAGAAGAGCGGTATGGGAAAGGGATAAGAAACGTCAAGTTGGGTCTGCAGCTTGGAGAAGGCCACTCTCCGATATCCTCTGGGATAGAGCTCCAGAGCTGTGGGGCGCAGCAGGAGAAGGCCCTGTCACCCGCAGAGTGTAGACGGGCTTGGGGGACAGACAGGAGACCAGAGTTAGAAGAGCGAGGGTTGCGAGGTGGGGAGAGGGATGACAGTAGTTCAGTAGTGTTATTAGTAGTGATGGTAGTGTTGCCAATTAAGCTAAAAAAGGGGGGGATGTTGCCTGATTATAAGAGCCTGGGGAAAGGGAGAGGAGAGTCACTCGGATCAGCTGTGTTCTGTGGATCGAAACTGCATGCTTCTCTTATCAGAAGACGCAATCTGGTGACAAAGAGGGGCACCTTTCTACGGCCCCATACAAGCACAAAGGCAGCTGGTCGAAACTGAAACGGGTGCAGAGAGATCGCTCGCCGTGTTTAACTCTTCATTAAATTATATGAATCTAATATTCCCATCCAACACAGAGCCGCAGAACCCAGTGCAACCTGGCAAAAAGAAACTGAGAGAGAGTCTTCACGTGGCTTGCATGGAAAAAACAAAAACCGTTTTACAGCACAGACGTTCTCTTCTGGCCCGCTGAAACGTCCTCGGCACGTGGTGCACTATGAGGACGCTCAGCTTGGCGGAGAGACTGAGCTTGCATTTGCTATCGCACAATAAAATGCTCATGTATTGCTAGAGCCAAGCGTCTGAGCTTACAGACTGCAGTCTCCTAGCCTTCGCCAGACCGAGCAGCTCCCCCAGTCAGATGCCTCAGTACTTACCACCCCGCCGACACGAACACATGGGCTCAAAGAGAGCTGGGTCGCTTCAGAACCTTGTACCCTCCTGCCACATCACAGCTGTCCGGGGCTCTTGCACAGAGTGTAAAACATACACGAATGGTTGAAACATCGAGGCCGATATCTGGTGCATTGTGTGCGCAAACAGTGTATCTGCGTCAGTGGGCGATCTTTATGCGGATAAATACGCACATTTACAGGACTACAGCTTCAGAACTATTGTTAAAACACACAGCGGCCCGTTGCAGGTGCAAACATCGTACAGCTGAGAGCAGGGAATTGGGCCGGTCTTATTTCTCAGGTTGTCGAAAGCCTATAACCCCTCCTGCTTGGTGCCAAACCCTTCAGGAAGTGCCTCCCTGCAATACATGAGCATTTTGGCACGCGATAGAAAATGCAAGCTCAGTCCGTGCGTAAAGCAGGCCAACAGCAGGGTTCTTGCTGTTTTTATTTTACAGCAAAAATAAAAGAACATTTTTTGGGGGGGCATCCAAAAGGTTTTCGGTGCATTATGACTCAGCTTTACGGAAAGACTCAGCTTGCTCGTTTATTGCTTAGAGAGAGCACCCACCACCTCACTCTCACCCCCCCCCCGCTCAGGATGCATCCCACTCAGGAAAGACCTGCACGGCAGCCCCTACTGCAGCGAGTCCGCAGCAGCCAAGGAGAAGTTCCTCCGACTCCGGAGACAGCAGGACAGCAACAGGGAGAGGCCTGTGCTCCTCACCTACAGCGATGGCTCAGAACGGGTAGGGACAGGCAGGTCGTCACTGAAGGGGAACATTCTCTTTCCTTCACTTGACCTGACGCTTTCAGCTCTTTCAACAGTGAACTGACAGGTCCACTAATGTGAAATGCCCATTACTGTGCTCCAGCATCCTACCAGAAGGTCCTTCTGTAAAGTATCTTCAAGCCCATTTGCAGCTCTGATGTGGTGACTCGCCACAGACTATTTTGAACGGGCTGGATCAATTGTCTAATCGACTCCACGTGAACTAGAGAGGACTGAAACAGACTCCTTGTCTAAACTGTGTTTTGAGGACTGAAAATGTTGCTTTTGGAAGACTGGAAAGTACCTTTGGCCCTAAGAGTTTCTCTCCTCCTCCTGTCTGATCAGATTTCTGTTATAAACAAGACCGTACCCTTGACAGCTAAACCCCTACCCTCCGGTGACTGGGCTGGTAGGACAGCCCATCTTGATCCTAAACCATCATCCCTGGCAAGAGACCGCGACACTCCTCTGCGTGCCATCGCAGGTAAAAGCAGGCACACTTCCTGCTGGAAATGTAGTTGGGTCCTCAGTTAAATGCAATGTGGCACATGGTGGTAGAACAAGTCTTGCTTTATGAAACTCAGTCTGCAGTATCAAGCACCTTGGCCTCGTGCATCAGGTAGAACCTTAAGCAAATTCTCTGGTACAAAAGGGACAATGACGGAAAATGGATCTGTATAAGCAATTTAAAATATTTAATATATATACTGTACCTTTTCATTCAATGCTGTAACTTATGGAAAATGTAGCTTAATGCTTTTACATAGCAGTGAAACTGCATGCAGTACACACTAAAACCTTAAGAGGGAACCTTTGCTCTAGTTAGTGCTACAATCCGATTGTGAAATGATCATTCATTCACAACTTGTTTGAATAGAAATGGCTCCCAGAAAATGAGAACCAGAAGCCTGTGAAAACAGAAACTGCTTTATCTCGTCAAATTTGCAAGTTACTCAGAGTTCTTTGGCAGGGTACACTGGGTTTGTCCCTACTTACCGCTGGAGCCTGGCTCAGAGCTATCAGCCAGCAGTCCGGGAGGCCATGGGGAACTTTGACCACAATCAGGTATGTTCGACAGGAGCTTCCAGTTAAGCGAAACCAAAACTTCCACATACAGTACTCAATTACTATCTTGGGGTACAGCCTAGAGATTTATTTCAATGTTACAGTAACCTACCAGCTACATTTTATACAATGTGGCTTTGAAGCTACTGTTTTCTTTAGTTTATCTTGCAAAACCCAGGCAAAACAGGAGAAACTGCAAGACTACCATCACTGCCAGAACTCTACACTAAGACAGGCATGCTGCCACACTACACTGGCTTCATACCAGGTAAGCTATTATACCACATTTAAAGGAGCCTTGAGTAAGTGGAAAAGACCTATTAAAGCTATTATCTAAAACTGTATATTTACATTAATGATAAACTGATATATTGCTTTGTGGCTTATCCAATTCTCACCAAGTATGTCATGTTCTTCTCAACTCAGGTGTGCGATACAAGCATGGTTTAACCTTCGGCCAGAGCTCCAGAGAGTCCTATTGGGAACAGAAACCTCAGTAGAGCCAACATGGACACAAAAGGCATGGACTATCAAATGAGCTCTTTTTATTGAGGATTTCCATCTGTACAGATTGAGCTGATAGACAAAGCCAGGTAACATTAAGAAACAGCAAAGTGAAAAATAAAAAGTTGAAAAAACAGAACAGGAGAATGGTTTTAAAAACAAATAGCTTAGGCCACTTCCTCTCCCTCCTCCTCCTCAAACTCGCCCTCCTCTTCCGCGGTGGCATCCTGGTACTGCTGGTACTCGGACACCAGGTCGTTCATGTTGCTCTCGGC